TATATATATATATATATATGTCAGAAAATCATATACTTGTTCGATCAAGTTTTTCTGTGAATGTGTCTTCCAAGACACAGATTTGAAGTGAGGGGAAAAAAAAAAAAAAAAAAAAAAAAACTTAACTGGAAGTCTGATCCAAAATGACATCGGCTCGCTCGCATAGTCTGCCTCTTTCTTTATTCCTGTGAGATAATTTCTTTGTTTTCTCCTTGGGTGTCCTCTTTCTGTCACTCCATTCAACCTTTTTAATTACTCTTGCTGTGAGCCACCCGATGCCTCCCTGTCACCTCTGGGAGTCTGTGAAAAGGGAACAGAATGTAAAGGGAATGCTGGGCCTGATGGCAGGCAAGAGGCTCATCGGGGAGGCCATAAGGAGACTGAGGGCTGTGGTTATACAAGGCCTTCGGAACTCCATCAGCACAGCTGCCAGCTCATCTTCTTGTTTCCCTGCCGGCTGGATTGCTAGTGTCATGATAAATAGTTTTTTTTTCAGTCCAATCCCATCCTGAATTGTCTCAACAGCATCGCTCATAGCCTGGGAAAATAGGCAGTCGGCACAAGATTATCAAATACATATGCATTCTGATTTGAAATTATTGCCTTTCTTCACCACTTTCACTTTTCTTTCAAATGACATGAAATTTGGCATTTGAGAAAACAAGGAGGATGGCTTGTTTTTGTTGTTTTTTTTTTTTTACTTGAAACTGACATGTAATGAATACACATTTCCTGAAAATTAACCAATGAAAATCAGACATTGCGTTTTAAATGTGGCCCAAGGAATTTAAAAAAAAGAAAGAAAAAGAAAACGGGCCTTGTAGCCTAAGTGCTATCCCTAACTTAATATTTTGTCGCTCGACCTTTTCAGGCAGTCACTCCAATCACATGATTTCTGTTACTGTCAATGAGACTTCTTCACCTCCCAACAGGTATTTTGGCCCAGTTGTTGGCATATTTCAACTCCTTTGACAGTTGCTCAATGGGATTTAGAGCAGGGCTCATATAGGTCCCTTGAGAATCCTCAGATGTTTGGCTTTCAGCCATTCTTGGGTGTTTTTAGTTGTCTGTCTTGGGCCAAGACAAGAGGGTGAGACAAAGCTTACTGACACAAGGCAGCACATTAGTTTCTAGCCTATCTTTATAATCCTGAGATTTCCTTGGATCCTGCACAAATTCGAGACACTCTGTGCAAGATGCAGATCACCCATCGCAGAACATAACCACATCCATATTTCACAGTAGGGACAGTGTTCTTTTCTTGGTGTGCTCCATATTTTTGCATCTGCGAACATGAAGTTGTTGTGCCTTGCCAAGAAGCTTCAGTTTTTTCTCATCTGTCCAAAGGACATCATCCCAGAATCTCTGTGGTTTGTCACTCCGCATTGTAGCAAATTCTAGTTGAACTTTTTTTGATTTGCCTTTAACAGTGTTCTCCTCGGTTGTCTGCCGTGAAGTCCACTTTGGCTCCAACAATGCCCGATGACGCAATCTGATACTGATATACCTTTGACCTTGGACTTCACTTTATTTATTTTTTTAGGTTGTTATGGGCTCCCTGGTGGTCATTCACATTATCTTTCCCTTCATTTTGAAATCTAGTTCCCTCTTGAGGTCACATCCAGGGAAGTTAAACCGTGGACCTTAAATGTGGTCTGGTGTGGTCTCCCTGTACTGGTAAGCGGAAAAAAAAAAAATCACTGAATTAAATGCTAAAAGGACATAGCCAACCCAGTCATCCACCATCTCAACGAGGGAACCACAGTCAACAAGGGGAGGGAACAATTCATAGCGAAAAGGCCACACACAACACGCACGCGCTAATCCAAAGGCAGGGTAGCCGGTGCATGGCCATCGGGTGCAGAAAGTCACCCGACACAAAACAGATAGCAATAAGTTATATTTTGTTCTATGTTCCCCGGCTCTAGTCATAGGTATGCAATTTCTGCTCTGTATCGTGTAGCTCTCAGTTCAGGCATCAGTTATTTTCTTTGCCTTTTGACAGTATCATGATATTCCTTGTTCCCTTCAGAATCTCAGCTTTCTGTAGAATGACTTAATTTATCCTTGAGCCTAAATGGGTTCATCCCCATCCATCTCAGTCTGTTCCCTTCAGGTCTCAGCCGCTCACTGAAGTTTTAGATTTTCACCTTCATAACCTTTTCTTCTATCTCAGTCCAAGTTTCTCTTGGTGACTTCAGAATTCCATTTCACACCAAGTTATTTCTCCTGGACTGTCTTTCCATGTAGTCCATTTTGTAAGTGACAACCAGCAGTCTGTCCCACACTGTCACAAAAAAAAAAAAATCCCCCTTGAATGGATTTCCAGTATTCCACCTATCTGTCCGTTTTTGTCATCCGCATTTTTTTTCATATTTATTATGACTCTCTACCCCCATTGTTCTTAACGTTACCCGTTTCCTCTGCTCTATTGTCTCAATACAGTCAGCCTCCATTCAATCCCGCCAAGAGTAAGCAAACCCCAAGTCATTGGAAAACCAGCAAGATTGAAAGGTACGTAAGCTTATTGGATGCATCATGCAGGTCATTTGAACAACCCATTGATTGTTCCTATGCTGATCAAAGAAACTAACCCCAAGATAGCCTTTTTCCCCCCTCCATAATGTGTCATATTTGACTGAATCATGAACAAATGTGTTTTTTTGAGTTAACTTGTTGAAATATTATTCATAGTTAATAACTACGGGGAAGGACCCTGATTGCATGGATCAATGATCTTCATGCTCAAAATCCCATTTATGTTTCTATGAAGGATGAGTGTGAGCACAGGTGCACTGGAATTTTCAACCAGCCATTACTTCATCCCAGGCACACCACACACAATCACAGACAATAATGGCTTGATATGCAATGCAACGAATACTGTAACAACAGGGGGAGCTCATTGTGCGTTATCACTTTCATTAACAAACCAATCACAGTTAATTCAGAACAGCAAAGTGAATGTAGCTCAGCCTTGGAGAAAAATTCTACAAAATGTGCATGTACTGTAACATGTACTGTATAAGTATGCATGAGGTATTCATGAGTCAGTGTCCTGTGACCAAACTGAATTTAAGACATCAAAATAAATTGAGGAGGAAAGGTGTTGCCAGGGGAGCAGTGTCAACCGAAAAAAAAATGTGACTCGTCATGCAGTTGTCTAACACCATGGAGGGACACCTGACAAAATGCTGGGTCAGGAATGTGATGGATAAGGAATTATTCCATGAATCAAATGCAAACAAGGTCGTAAAAATGTGCATTGAAATCCAAACAGGAAATGAGCTCCGATTTAATTGTGCATGGAACTCAGTTTGTTGATTTGCTAATTAATGGTCTGTACTTGAAATCAAACCATTGACTTACATTTGATCAAAGCTTTCTACTGTATTGGAGTTTCATTTCAATATTCAAAATGGTTTGTGGCATGGAATTGATTGTGTTGGACCTTCAAGGTTGCACTTACAGTAAATGCCATAAAGCACCCCACTACACAAAATAATTCATTTCGGATTTTAAATACAAACCCAATTCCAATGAAGTTTGGAATTTGTGTTAATCCTAAATAAAAACACAATACAATTATTTACAAATCAAATTCAACCTCTACAGGTACTTAATTGAATACAGTACAAAGTTATTTCATGAGTTTTTGCTAAAAACAATAAAGTTTATCAGTTTGAATGTACAGTATACATGTATCTGCATATGTGTGTGTAACAGAGGAAGGGAGATCCGGTTCCTCGAGAGCCATATTCCGCCTATTTTTGGATCTCTCTCTAATCCCAGCACACCTGATTCAATGCATCACCGTTTCAGGCTTCTGCAGAGCCTGCTGATGAGCTGATAATTTGAATCAGGATTGTTGAAGGTGAGAGAGATCGAAAACAGGCACGATAGGGCTCTCAAGGAACCAACGTCTTAAAAAATGCTGGAGCATTTCACTCTACACGGCGCTAGCTGTGTTGCTTGCAATCTTTGGAAAAGCAAGATGGATTGGCATAGATCCACCATGGTAATGATACAGCACTTGAAATGAAAATATGCTTTCTTTTCATGTATGCTGTCAGGTCCACGTTGCAAAAGAGAATTTGGTCTCAACTGCCTTACCTGGATAAATCACTGCAGTCTGGATGTGTGCAGTTTGACAGACAACAAATGACTCTTTAAATCACATTCTTGCTTCAAGCCGCTTATTTGTCATTCGCTGTTGCATTTTTATTTAAAAAAACAGCACATTGTGGTGTTGTCAAGACCACACTATTTGAGACCAAGACTTGCCGGAGACCGGAGCTCACCGAATTACAACCAGCACTGAGATAAGAAGAGACCATAACAGGACCAAGACCACTTTTTTTTTTTTTTTTAATTCTTAAAAAAAAAACAGACAGCCAAATGGACAAATGTTCAGGGAAGCAGCTACTGGATAAGGGGAAGTATACCTGGAGGAATACACTTTTTCCGTTCTGGACTTTGTTTCAAAATGTGCTGACGATAAGACCATCGTGATCAACCTGAACCAGAAGCCCTGGCTTAATGCAGAGGTGAGAGCACTGTAGAAGGCTACGGATGCTGCCTTCAGCGCAGACGAAACGTCAGCACTCAGGGTAGCAAGAAGAGAGCTGGCTGCGGACATCAGGTGGGCTAAATTCCCCTATGCTCAGAAAATCCGAGACCACTTCACATTCAATGACCCTCGGAGCATGTGGAGTGGCTTGATGTGCATCACAAACAACAACACCAAAGACACATCCTTGCCAGATGAGGTCAAGCAGTTCTTCGTCCGCTTTGAGTACTATGACAACACTTTCAATGTCAGACTCACTCCCCAGCCGATGACATTCCCCTGAGCTTATCCCCAGCAGACATGAGGAGAACGCTGTAAAGGATCAACCCCCAGAGTGTTGTAGACCCTGACAATATACCACTCTGGGAAAAAAAAAAGATCCTTTAGTTACTTCATTTGAACATCGGTTGCACATGATTAAAATGTGGTAATCCTGTGTAATTTTCCCATGTTTTCCGAAAACAAAAAAACACATTTTAATCCTGTGCAACCAAAATGCAAGTTTTTTTGGGGTTTTTTTTGTTTCTGTTTTTCACTGCAGTGTGGTGACTGAGGGACTGTGCCCACCAGCTGACTGAGGTGGTAACAAACATTTTCAACAACCCAACTATCATGTGTCCCAACTTGTGTAAAGACTGCCTCAAACATCCCCGTACCCATGACCTCCACAGTGGCAGGTCTGAATGTCCGTTGGCCAGTAGCCCTCACTTTGGTTGTCAGCAAGTGCTTTGAGAAGCTGATCATGGCACAGATGAAGAACTTCATCGACGACACTGAATCCTCATCAGTACGCCTACAGGAAGAACTGCTACATTAATGAGGCCATCTAATCAGTAGTCCACACAGCCCCCACCCTCCTTGAAAGCAGGGACTCCTACGTCCACCTGCTCTTACTGGATTTCCCGTCCACCTTCAACACCATCAGCTCACAACACCTGGTGCAAAAACTGAACATTCTTGGGCTGAGTCCATCCAATGCCTATTCATCCCGACGTGTTGGACAATAATTGGGGGTGTTCACATGGCACACATTTGCATCAGTGCTGCACCGATGTATTTTGTTGCGCTATATACTGTATGACACCGGTGTAAATTTTGTGGAGCATTCACACATATAAAGCTGCTTTCTAAAGAGAAGCTTGTTAACCCCGCTGCAGCCCCACTTGTGTTTACACGGCATTTTCTGCAGCCGTGCAATACGGAAATAAAACATGCGCATGCAAAAGTGTCCTTCCTTTTCCCCTCCTTGTTTGTGACATATCGAAAAACCATGGTTTATACTTCTCCAGACAAATCAACGCTCTGGTACATCAGACACCGTAAAAGGATGAGAGAGAGAAAGGAAAGAAATGCAAAATACCCAGGATGCAAGTTATGCAATACCTGTATGTAATCAACTCTTCTCACGGGTAGTGAGTCTACCCCCGTAGCGTTCACACATCCCATTTTACATCGGTGCTGCCCCTCAAACTAGCATTTACTCCGGAGTAAATTTTTAAACCACCTCCCTCGCAGGGTTAAATTTGCTCCGGTTTAAGCTGTTTTCAGGGGCTACACCGGTATAACTTTGTACGTGTGAATGCTCTACGGGGGGCAGCCCCGGTGCTACACCGGAGTAAAAGTTGTGTGTGAACACCCCTATTGTTTTTTTTTTTTTTTTCTTTCCAAGTACAAGACGTTTTTACAAGTCTTGCGATGTACCGGGTTAACTTGGGACCTTGGGTATTGTATATCATGTGGAAACATGTTGGTATGACAGTAAAATTCCTGAAGGCTCTTCTTTGAAATTCGAAATTGCTTTTATTGTCATTGCACATGCACAAAGTGCTAGGCAATGATTAGTGACTTAACAGGTGCATACCGACCAAGAAACATAAAAAAACAAAGACCAACAGAGGGAGAAAGGACCAGAAAGCCTGTCGGGACTTGTTTTTCACTCTCCTGAGATTTTAGGTGTGTAGGGAAAACAGTTGGAAGGAAGAGAGGGCCAGAAAACACAGCTTGAGCCATGCCCTTTAACCTGTAAAAAAAACTTACAACATACATTTAACCCTTTCAGGGACAGTGGCTACTACGTTGGAAACCTTATCATGGTATCAGGTTACAGGTTATCATTATCGGTGCATAAAAGTGTTAAGACATTACAACAGAGGTCTGAGATATGTGGAAGGAGGGGAAGGATAAAAAAATATATATATATATATGACCCCGCACCGCCCCAGATGCCCAGGGCATCCGCCAGCACACTCGGGCCATCATGGTTGGAGGTGGAGGAGAGCCAATGAATGCAGTGAAGTCTTTGGGATGTGTATGCATTATGTGGAGCAATGAGTTGTTTCAACACAAAGTCTGTGTCGATGTTCTACCAGGGCACCAAAAAAATAATTGTCACGTTGCCATGGAGATGACCTTGGCTGCGTAGACAGAAACAGAGAGCAGATGAGAGTGGGAGAGGTGAAGTGTCCAGCAACATCACTTTCACTATTTTCCAAACTCCTTTTTTAAGTCAAGGACTTTGAGTAGAGTTCTCTGTAGTGGTGTGCAAAACTACTTTTTAAAAATAATTAAGGTTGATGCATCACCGGCTTGTTGAGTCGCAATTAATTTGCCTGACTTTTTTTTTTGTTTGTTTGTTTTGTTTTTGTTTTTTGTTAATTATTTAACAGTTAATTGCCAGGACATCATTAGGACAAAGTTTGTCAGAAAATAGAAAATACTACTTTTTCTGTTCAGAAAGTGCTTTCCAAGATGAAATGACAATTCCTTCATCATTTGAAACAAATTGTTCCAAATTATCACTCTACAACAAATATTATATCAAAAAAACAACAACTAAGAAACCAATTATATTTTTTTAGTACGTCGCATGTCAAGGGAATGTTATACAAAAGCAAAACAATATATCTTCCCTTCCATGCATCTTTTTCTGGGAAAAAACATCTGG